TCATGAGTCAACCCCATAACTTGGCCGGAACAAAATCTTATAACTTAGTGTAAACAACACAAATCGCGCTCAAATTCGCAACGTAACCTCAAAATAGTCAAACTTTACGATAGTGGTGTCATTTGCTAGATTGCTACACTAGCGTTGCCAAATCTCAAAATATAAAAGGCAACCCTCGTATTCGTACATAGTTATCTGAATGATTGACTGGCTGGCCATCAAAGTCATGCACAGCGAATTTAATGGTCCCTCTTTAAGTATTCCAGTTGGAGAAGTATTTCAGTTTAACTGCGACCAAAAACGTGTTCAACGGTTACGTGAGATCTTAAATATCTGCTCTTTGGATTTCCAGGCACTCAAGTTGTCCAGACTTTTCCGACCGCTGCGTGCACCAGTTATTTATTCGTGCTCTACACTTTCTTGATTCCACGGTGGGCAACTTGGATTTCATTTCCTGTTTTCTCTATTTTCTGATTTCTTTTATTTTAATTTTCTATATTCCATGTTATAATTTTCTATATTTCCTATGTTTCTATGTCTGCGCTTCCAGGCAATATTCAATGACTGTAAGAGGACGGTTCAAGAGCTAGCAGCGAAGGAATTTTCTGACTCGCGAGATACTCGGCGTTTTTTCGCAAGAAGGAAGAGGGTGAGATGGTTTCTCGTGCACTATTCATCTGATTTTTCTTGCATGTATGCGCAGGAACCATAGGATGCATAGTGAACGAAAGCGCAGTCGCTGGAGCGGCTTTCCAAACTTTAGACACGGACTGGTATTTTCAGGCATTTTGTTCGGATATAGTGAACGAAGTGTTGTATTCCACATGGCATGCTGATGAAGAGGAGTCAGATAATGTGATTAATGAGGAGATTGATGATTTGCTCCAAGTTGCTGGGGATATTTTTGGTTTTGAAAATATTCCAAGGTGAGCAAAAATTACTGACCTCAAAACGAGCTCCGTTTAAACCTTTACAAGTATTTTCCTCCCCTGCCAGGCCTCTCCTTGTTAGTACTCTGATTTTATTGATGTGTGACGTATGTTTCTTACAGCTTCATCCGTGCAGCAGTGTATATTGTTCCACAAATCCTTTTGTCTCACTCGGAACAGAGACAAGTTGCTGTGAAGATGCTGGACAGGATTAGATTTCATCTCTCGAAAAACGTGCAGGATTTGATATCCGAGGTGAGAGGAGGAATTCTAAAGGATAAAGTCTTTGGGCGGTGGTCAATTCCGTCTGAGGGATGCGCCCCGCATTCACTACCATTCAGAATCATAGTGGTGTCATGGCTGTGTATGTGGCCTATGCAATGATTTGCAGTGGCTAGTCACTGTCCAAGTCAGTGAGAGGATAAAGGCACTGACTTGGACAGTGACTAGCCGAGTATGGTACCAATCAAATGCCTCCAGGGGAAGAAAGGCTTGGTTGGCCTAGGTGGATATCGAGCCGGAATTCGAACCCGTGATAGTGCTCCACTTGCCCGCCCAAAGAGAACAAATATCAGATTAAAATATAGAATTCGGCGTTCGGAAGAGCCTTGTCATTTGTTATTATTGTTATTTTCTCCGGTAGACCTCGTATGAGATATTATTTCCTACGGTAAATCTCGAATGACACTGTTTAGCCCTAAAGTAGTACCTTCCATTTGAAAGCACACCCCGCCCATTGCGGGTGGAGCTTCGCTCCGAATATGTATGGCTTGCACCCGACCTTCTTACTTCTACGATTCTTTTGACCTCTAGGCTTTGGCGTTATCGACCTATGATTTTGATCAGCAATTTTATGTGGGTCCCCTTCGTATATGTTGACCCATTCCTCATCTTTGTCCTTTTTTTCCCAAACGTCTGGGGCTTTCTGAAATCCAAACTACAAGGGTTTGCCCATAATATCACCTAATCCAATAATTGCCACTACTCTCAAATATTAGATCTGCGTAAGATTACACGCCTTTTTCATCATTCATATTTCCAGTATTTCCCATCTGTTCTTGAAAAACCTTTGGATAGTGTGAAACGAAAGTCTTTGAAAACTTTCATCAAGGAGTACTGTAATCTCGATCTGGTTAGTCTTCCATCTAAGTCAAATCTCAATACTTTTTTTGATTTTTCATTTTTACGTAGATATTTCAGAGATATCTATTCCATACTAAACGGTTTCTGTGCATTGTATTTATACTGAGGAGTATTGCATTGGATGAGCAGGGATACCTGGAGATACTGCAGAATATGCGCAGCTCCCAAATTCATGGAGCTTCGCGAGAACCGTTTTCTATAACTGCTGTGATGAAATACAAGTGAGTCCTTTTCGTTGGAAGCTCTTAATGAGGTGGAATTGTGGGTGACGGAGGACGAATTGATCTTATGCTCCTCTACTTCCTAGTTGGCGCATAGTGCACGACTTCTCTGTGCTATGATCCTCTCCGTTCTTATTCATGTAACTGCCGCCAAGCAGGTCTCGCAAGTTAAAACATCAGCAAAGACGTAAGCGTTGATGTTAACTCTGTGAGGGCCATGTCCTTATGTTCACCAAGGTGAAGGTTTTGACAGCGAATGAGATCGGTTGTCGTTATTCCTTTAGATTTGTTTGGTGATTCCGCATGCGATGTGGTCTGCGCACTTCCGCATGTTTCAAAAGTTATGATGGTATGGTAGATTAGTTGCCGACTGTGATTAGTAAGTACAGTGATGAGGACCATTGCTGTTGGATAACGGTTACGCATCAAGTATTGAAGGATATCTCAAGAAGGAACACATTCTTGCTTTATTCCAGTATATTGCGACAAATTTACCAAACTATCAATCATTTAAGAATCCCGATCAATAGTTTATTTCTATGAAGATAGGAACGGTCATGGGAAAATTCCTGATAATGGTGTTAACATCAGTCTAGAACATTCGTAAGCTCCATTCAAGGTTGCCGGGAGAGGGAGAGGGGAGTCTAGTTTGTTCTCCTTCGTCCTGCAATAGATCCGGCCAGCTGTTTTTTAAAAAAAAAATTAGTTGTCTTCCTTCAAGCAATCGCGTTCTACAGCTCAATCATAGCGGTTAGCACTGTTTTCCGTTTTCAGCCATTTTTCACCGAACACCATTTTCAGCTGCGAATACCTTGGGTTTCTCTTGTCGTTCCGTCGCAGTCTTCTCGATGACGATCACTATGAGCAACGTTCAGTATTGCTATCCAGTCTCGCCACTATAATACGGTTGATCGATGAAAAGTTCCTTGAAGAAGTAAGCAATTAGTTCTGAATGAGATAGACCATATTCAAAGAAATTCTGTAGATGTGCTAAGTTTTGAAAAGATTCGGGGGCTTCCAGGGTTTTCATGGGTAGGTTTTTTTTGATTTTGTGGCAACGGCTATTCTAGAACGCATTAATGATGAGTGAATGGAATATAGAATTAACAAAACCTATTTTAGACATCTAATAAAGTTATGGTTGTTCTTCGTGCTGCCACAGTTGTTGGCGAAGGTGCGGTAGCCGTCTGGAAGGAATTTGTACGACGGCTGGGTGACAGGTTAGTGTTCGTTGCTAAAAAAAATAGTACAAGAGTGCAGGAATCATGATATTGTAAAGAGCAGGAGTCCCCTGTAAGTTGACATTGCTCGAAGCTGCTTGTACCTTTTTGTTGATCGTGATCTTGGATTAGCACCAAACTTGGGAATTGAAACTGCAAAATGTGAGAGATAAGAAAATGCAGAGTCGCTGGAAAGTGTTCAAGCATGAAGTTAGGGTGGCCAGAAATTGTAAGCTCGTACCGAAGAGACACCTATCACTACTGCAGACTCAGAGACGATCCTCTGTGTTACAGAATGCTAGCCAATTTGCTGCCCAAAATCCTGATTGCGATACAACCATTGCTGAAGTTTCCGGCCACAAACGAATTACTGGACAATATTTTTGATCGGAGAAAACCGCTGGAAATAGACCAAAGGTACGTTTGCTATTTCCTTACCAAGAACTTACCGTCCCGATCACCCATGTGTTTAGCGAAGCGTTTGAGCGAACTGCGATGGTGCTGGTGAACAGTGAAGCTGGGGATTCATCTCGAATCAATTTCCATCTTCGTCGTACATCTACCAATAACTCCATCGAGCACATAGTTTCAGGTAGGTGATGATCGGCTCTATGAGGTCAAAAGCAGAGCTGATTCGGTAGCTGGGTAGCTGGTGGCGCTCAAACCACTTTCTATGGTTCTCGATATCGCTACCTACACTGGTCAGCTAATGATGCAAGTCCGCCTACAATATCAAGTGGAATTTCAGGGCAAGGCGCACCTCCGTGATGTTGTTTGGCACCATGACCTAAGAAAACACAGTTTCTTAGCATATCTGGAAAATTGTCTTCTATGTATGAGTATTTTCACTGTCTACTTTAGGTTGTGTTCGGATGCTGATGGAAGAATGTGAAACCGTGGGTCGCGTTGTACTACAAAAATTACTATCAGTACTGGACGGCAATCCCTTGCCGGATACTTTAGCCGCCAGCCTGGTAAGACTTTCTTTTTATTATTTCTTCCATTCTTGCTCTTGTTCCAAGGTTGCTGCTAAAGTGACATTCAGATACCAGCTCTTTTACACACCATGCGTAATTGTGGTGATGTCAGCCTTCGTGTGTTATCTGCACAGTGTCTGGGTAGACTAGCAGCGGTAGATCCTGGTAGAATCGGTTCGTCTAGTGGCATCTCTACATCTGATCAGAAGAAGATAGTTTTCGTTGATGACGCTAAAGAAGTGAGACTCACTTCATCTTTTGAAATATCTTTTGTTCAATATCAAGTTGAATCCCAAAGTCCCAGATGGGGATAAACTTTTATCTGGCAGTCCGTGAAAAGTCATATGAGCGCAGTGAAGAAAAGGATATGAAATATGAAGTCTACCTTTTGATATAATAAAGAAAGTAATTTTCAAAACACCTTCAAGTTGCGTTTCAGTTTTACGTGGATATTTTGGAGCGAGCTTGGCGTGTCTACTCGAATCTGTTAGACGCAGATGTGCTTGATCAAGTAGAATTCGCTCTTCAGTCATTAATGTCTGAGCTCGTAGGAAAATCGGATGAATTTGGGATTATGGAGCGGTGAGCACTTGTGTTTATACTTTCTAAGATCACGTGTCTGTACAAACGTTCTGCGTGTTAGCGTCACATGACCGTTTCTTTCTTGTCATTTCTCGGAGTCACCAACGAAGGGTCAAAATTGGCAATTTTTAGACTGAGCGAAGAATGTCGTCGAGATATTGAACCCTTCCGGAGCAGTAGTCTCGTACAAACGCATGACCGAAGAGGACCGATCAAAGAGAGGTAGGTGACGCTAAATCAAATTTGTGAGGGGAGAATCTAAAAAAATAACGACATATGCAATGTGAGGGTGACCAGAGGAGGTTGAAATTTGTTCGAATTGCTTAGACGTCCGTCGAGATCTGTTAATTGCATAAAAGTCATTTAGGCCGGTTGTGGATCATGTGCAAGGATATGAAGAATGGTTGCTACAGTGCTTTATCATTGGCGTACCTAAGGTGAATCAAAAATTTTAAGAAGGATCGGCACTGAGCCGAATATGTGTGACAGTTATTTTCCAGGTGCGCCAGCATCCGGACAAGGAGTTGTTCAAAGCTTTGAAATGGATTGTATTTGCAAAGGATACNGTATTCACGCAACATATGCTACCTCAGCTGATTATTCGCCTGATACTCGAGAATAATGAAGACATGATTAGTGAGGTTTGTGCTAGGCACACCTTGAACTTCTGAATTTAGGACCAATTTATGTATAAAGGCGCAGTATGGTGTCCTTGATCACCAGATATTACCATAAAATAAGCTGTAGAAACTAGAAAACATCCAGCTCCTCCCGCTCTTTCCATGTTGGTGCTGTTTCAACCTCCGCCACAACCAGCTAAATTTTGAGAAGACTGGATGAAACATGCATCATCTTAATTGAGCGGACCATGGAGTGGGTAATGTGCAAAGTTTTTGCACACGCCATTCTAGGAACTAATTTGGGGTATCGAGCTCAGCATAGGAAGGTCAGTGATGTTGCAGTATGCGCTAAGAATTTTGAGGTTACGTAAGCCAAATACGTCTTGCGATCTTGTAGTGGTTATTGGAAGTAGAACGCTGACCGCTCGGATTCTTCTAAACTTTCAACTCTCCCATTGGCCATTGGAGCTGTGGCCGGGTCAAACGAAGACCATACCCTGGAAACGATAATCAGACTTTTTCGTGAAGGATTTGAACTTATGAAATGATGCGCTTCATGTTCGTCGAGGTAGGAGGTCCCACAAAACTACGCTAACACGTGACAGAACTTTACTGGCACGCGGCTGGAGAAAGTGGAATCCTTACTGGCTCCCGCCGAAGGAATTGCGCAGGCATGGTGACTGTGGCTTTTGAAATTAAAGTAATGGTTTTGTTGTGTAAAAGTCTTATATTCTCATGCAGCTTTCTTCTTTTTTCCTTCGTCTTTTTTTTCCTCATTTTCTTGGGTTTTGTAACTAATTTAATGTAGCCCTACGACTTGAAAAGTCGTGAAATTAGTTTCCGACCATGAAAATTTGTTTCGAAGAGTTTCACCACTTTTATGTTGGAACAAGCTTTTTGATGTGCAGAAATCGACTTTCTTTGACCGAAGTACCAAAATCAATGAAGCTCTTGATCCTTGAATATTTCCATTTTGGAATCTGACTGTTCTAGTACTGTGACGAAATGACAAGTGTGTTGGCTCGAGTGGTATCGAATGCTGCCAGTTGGAGACGACTGGCGGCACACGTGGTGTTTTCTGTGTTAGATACATTAGAACAGTATGCGATCAGAAGGCTGGCCAAGAAGAGGCCTAATGATAAGGTCAGTTTGATGTTGCCATTACGTTTGAATCCTTTTTCTAGACAAAAGTCTCGAATTTCACTCGATCCCTGTTACAGGAACTGGAAAGGACACAAGCATTTCTGTCTCGAGTCTTCTCTGAAAAGGCCTCCAATGGTTCCTTGCTGGTAGTAGTGGCTGCAGAGAAGTGTCAATGCATGCATCGAGCTCTTCGATGGTAAGGTATTTGCTCTGTATGAGTGGTCCCTAATGGTGTGAGGTTGTGGGTAGAGTTTTGCAAAATATTGGATGATCTATTGTAGGTGTGAGCAGCATGAAATCAAGCAGGACGACCTTGGTTGTAATATCTTCGACCGGAACCACTTTTATACCCTTGAGGTGACTAGCATTTATTTGGTAGTAGCTCTTAAATTTATTGTTGTAGTTCATTTTCTTCGAACCTCCAACCCTAAGAAACCTTTCTTCTCGTTTCAGTGTCTTACTTAATAACCAGTAAGATCGCCCGACTTACTCTGGGCATCCCCCTCTTGTGAAAAGTTAAAGCCTACTTGATTTTTTTCTAGGACTAGGCTTCACTCAATTGAAATTCAGCGCATCTATACTCAACTACAAAACGTGGACGGTGTTCTGGGATCATTTGAATGCATCTCAGCTTGTACATCACCAACAGCAGACGAACGAATTCTGGCTCTAGAAGCAAATGGTGACTACAATGAGGCTCTGCCCCTCTACTCGCAGTCTGTGAATAACAAGGAGGTATTTCTTCCGTTTTAGATTTTCTGCAATCTGGCTGGCCTCAGGCAAATCTACGGTTCACTTTTAACAGTTTTAGAAGCTGCTCGTCTAATCTTTGCTTCTTTTCAAGTTGTTCCGGATGATTTCTTCAACGGTTTCACGCCTGTGGGTGACTACTCCTCCATTTTAGCTTCAACTCATCAAATGTCTTCTGCGACTCAATCAGCCTCAACTAGCGTTGAACACTGCAATCTCGTTTCAAGAAAATGATGAGAAATCTTCTCATTTGACAAGTTCGTTGGCCTCCAGCCAACTTGAGGCCACTTGGCATTTGAGAGATTGGGGAAGACTGGAGAAAATGGTTCAAGTATGTTTGTTCCTTTTCTTTGTTCCTATCATTTCAACGCAACACCATTTATCGGAAGAAATTTTGTCAGGGGAGGGAATTGTTTACTACAGTTGGTCTTTCGATCGAATACCAAGCAGCTCTTGCCCTTTTATTTTTTTCTAGTTCTTTGCCTTGTGAAGCTGTTGTTACTTCATACCTGCTTACGGGAGCAGAAACTTCGTTTCTGGCAGGCGCTGTTAGTACAAAACTGCTCAATTCGTTCCTTTCATTGTTTCTCTTTCTAACATTTTTGCCTTGTAGCTACCATATCGCTAAACTGTTGTCTTCAACTTTTCCATCGATGTCGGTTCTTCGAACACCCTTCCCTCTTTCGCTGTTCTTCGAAAATTGATAGAAGCTACCTTTCCTTTCCCACACCCCCTACTCTCCAACATCACAAATTAGCATTTTGCTATTCTAGGAAATTGTCCCTGTAAAACGTTGTTCCCCTACAGTAGTACAGTGGGTACACTGATCATGTAGACGGTAATTGATGACGTTATTGTGCACTCCCCAACGAGTGAAGAAAAAGGAGCTGGTAATGGAAATATAGATGGATCTTTGGGGCCCAGTTACGCACTCGACTTATCCTCTGCCTACGGTGTGCGTTTCAGAAATGTGACCCACTACTGGACCGTCACGATTCGTCGTGGGGAGCAGCTTGTGCTTCGATTCTGTGTGCTGTTAAGCGCCGCGAATCTGTGAAGTTGACAGAGAGGCTTCTGGCAGCTCGTCAACGCCTCGTCGAGCGAATAACTGCAAAAACCATCGAAGATTCAAACACATACACCCAAGCGTATAAATACATAGCCAAGTGAGTTCAGTGGCATTGTCGGGTCAATTGATAAACATTTTTTTATGCTATAGAATTTGGAAACTTGATTTGCGTCTATAAACCACGATACCGATTTTCCTCCATTTAGTCTACACGTCTTGGAAGAAATCGACGAATCTATGCACTCTCTGTCACTTCTGTCGAACCAGAAGCCTGTTAACCTGAGGGCAGTTCTGGACAAGTGGCAGGTGTGGTCTGAAAGATTTATCTTAGGTCCTTGCAATTTCTGGATCTCACAAGTTGTTGTTTAGGCTCGATCGGAATGTGTGATGCAGTGCTCAAATATCCTGGAACCGATTCTGTTGGTACGTCGGGAGTTGCTTCGGGCCACTGCCGATGTGGGAACTGTCGATCGCCGAGATGTCGACAACGCTGTCACTCAACTTCTTGTGCAGGTAACAGCCTATATATTCGTTGCAAAGATAAGCATAGGGCGAACTAACCTTCCAATTTTTACAGAGTTGTCGCTTAGCTCGGCAATCAGGCCACATCCAGATTGCGTGGACGTTCCTGGTAGAAGCCAAAGCGTTGGGCGTGAACTTGAAGGATGTTGGAATGGAGGAAGCGCGATTTGAGTTCCAAAAGGTGCGCCTCATTCTCTCATGAATCGATTCTTTTCAATCTATGAACATTTGTCTGTAGGGCAGCCAGTCTCAAGCGATCGGGCTTCTAACCAAGTTGTTGAATACCAAATTTGCTGACATGAACAAATTGTTTACGGATTTCGTTCATTGGCACGAATCTGGTGCAAAGAGTACGGCAGACTCTCCAGACGTTCTCGTGAAGAAAACCAGTAAGGAATCGAGGGCCGCCTTCGCAGAGGTGAGTTTTTGCAATAACATTTCAGTAGAGGATATAGAGAAACGAGTTTCAATTTTAAAATAAGTAACGAAGTAAGATTTTTCTCGAATGGAACAATCACTTGAAAGGTGATGCTAAAAGTATCGACAATGCCCTCCCCATCGTCGTGTATGTATGTTTAATCAGCCTTCCTACCGAAAAGTTTGATCCGTCTGCCATCCCCGCCCCTGCGCTCCCAGGGAGTAGCTTGTATTGAAGAAGTGAGTGACAAAGGTACTGCGGACGAGCGGAAATGATGGTGGGGCATAGGCATGAAGCGTAACCATGGTCGGTTATGGCGAACAAGTGCAGTGCGGAATAGTTAGTAAATTAGTAGTACCGTTGGTTGTACATCTAGGCAATGATGACTAGATGCTCTTTCTAAATGAATTTTAGGCTGTTTGCTGCAATTAACGGCATCTTCTCTGGCACGAAGCCCAACTTTGCTTTCGTTTCAGGTTCAGTTACTGCGCGCTGAGTACATGCTGAAATCAGGAGCGGTGGCGGCGACAGATCTCTACCAGATCTATTTGTCACTACAGCGATTTGACGTACCTTCTGAGGATCTTCATTATCGTGTGGCAGTGTTTTGTGATGGAATGTATAGCAATGATACTGAGAAGGTAATCATTCGCGTTTTTCATTCCTTCACAGCACAGTTATTAGGGAACCTTATGTATTTCGCTCTGAGAGGTTCTGCTACCATCTCCATGACTAGTCATTCATTTTTTTTTTCGTAAAAGCAGTGCCGATGGTTAATCGTTTTTGGTAGCGGAAGTTTTGTTTTTATTTATGCAATACTTAAGGTTCGAAGCGATTTGGTTGCGAACATCCTGAAGTCCTACACGAATGCTCTACGTTTTGGCCGTACACATTTGTTTCACGCAATGCCAAGAATGCTTACGATATGGCTGGACGTTAGTCAGAAAAAGGTAATGAAACATCTGCTGTCGAATTTTGGAAAAGCCAGAAGGAAAGGTACAGCAGAAGCTATTCAGTCTTAGAAACTGTATTGAGGCAGTGTACTGGAGATGTTCAAAATGGACTGCTGTAGTGTCCAGTGCAATAGGAAGGGTTGACTTAAGAATCCGAATTTTGGGATAATTCTTATTCATATTTTCAGACTGAGGCGATTCAAAGCCGTGGATCAGATGCCCGTGCCACCGAAATGAACAATAGAGACAATAACGATATAACGCAAGTAGGTTGAATTGGTGAAAGCGTTTCGAAAAGGCAATGACAGATCTTTCACAGATCAGACCGTTCAGCTTATCATCGAACTATCAGACTTCTCGTCACTAGTTTTAAAAGAACTCTGTTTTCTTGAAAGTGTTATTGAACGTGACCGACATGGGCAGGTGTGGTCATTCAAGATGGGAAGTATACGGTCAATATTTCAGATGAATACGGAAATCTCTCGAGCATTCCGACAACTTGATTCGTACGCATTCTACACAGCATTCCCTCAGCTGATCTCACGTATAGTACATCCTAACGCATCAGTCTTTTCAACTCTGAAGGTACTCAATTGATCTTCAGTTACTCCATGCCTTATGTTCTCATTTCTGACAGTGTCTCCATAACGGTTGCCCTATGGCCTACCTTCGTAGTAAGAGTTATGAGTTTCAGGCTATCTTGGCTGATCTCATCTGTAAATATCCTCATCAATGTATATGGCAATCAATAGCTGTTTACAGAACTGGTCCATGGCAGAAAAACATTCGTCAAGAAAGGTTCGAGATGCTGTTTTGCAACTACTCTCTGTTTTCTCAACTTTTTTTCATGTCTTATTGGTTTTTTACTCATCTTACTGCATTGCAAAGTCGTTTTGCGCTTTCTGTTGCTATTCTGTTTCGCTTTTGGATCGCGTACTTTCGCTGGCATAGCACAAGTACGAATTCGAGTCCCTTTCGCGATCGAAGTTTTGACCGTAACTCGTCAACCTTAAAAGAGTTCGGTTAAAGGTACAGCTCACGATAATTTTGATATACCCTCTTTCGGTAGAAATGTGGAAGCGTTGAGTAGAGGAGGATATCGGTGGCGAAGAAAGCGAGAAAATCCGCCTACTTCAAGGCTTTTTAAAAGTAGTGGAAGTGGAGGTTGTACGAGTTCACCGCGAGAGAAATGGTATGTAAGGGTATTTGGACGAGATATAACTTGCTCCCATTGCGCGAA